ACCGCTGTACCACTGGGGGGCTTGTGTTCTGAACAGATAATCATCAATTTCATTCAGAGTAGCAACATCATTCCCACGGGAAAGTTAATGACTAGCTTGGATGAATTTGTAATGGCTCTTATCTCATAGTTAGAAAGCCACGAAAATTTTTAGAAGTAAATAAATTTGTCTACTTTTTGCATGTTTTTAGTCTATATTCTTTGGTGTATTATTTAAGTAAATAAAAATTGTTAAGTGCTCTACTATAATCGCTAAAACAATCAGGCTTAACTCTACTAAACAATCGAGGGCAAGAAAAAATAAGATTGGGTAAGTACTATATTTCTTGTTTTTCATATTTATTTACAACTTATAATGGTGTGGATAGCTGTTAGACACAGTTCAAATTGCAATAAGAAGGGCAATAAAACAACAAAATTTAATTATAAATAGATGTATAATGTTACAAACTTAGAGCTATTTAGGATAAACGAATGTAGTTTCATGTTAGAATTTGAAGTCATACTAGAAAGAAAAGGTTAATTTAGGTTTATTTCAATTTTTTTTTGGTGGTTACGAGGTTGGTTGAATTGACCAATCCTGTTTTGAGATTAGGGTAGAGAAAATAATAGATATACTATAAAGATTTAGTGAAAAAACGTATAAAATGCATTTAGGAGGTTTTAGGGATTACACAAATGAAATTTGAGATGACAAAAAAGTATTTTTAACTTTAACATGAAAATTACTTTGCACATGGACTATTCAAAACAAATACTCAATATATTCATAGACAAATTTTTATTTTATTTTATTAAAAGTACTTCACTAAGAAATATGATTTTTCGTATGTGAAAGACTTGTAATATTAACTGAAAGACTGCCAAATTTCATGAAGATATACCAAATATATAGAGTTATAAGTATTAAATTTATGTCAATTTTAGATGAGTACAGAAGGTCACGTGACACGGTCAAATTGACCGACCCCGTGTCGAAAGAGTTAAGTGAAAGATGATACACAGTACATGACACTAAGGGCTCAAAAAAATGTCAAGATAAAGCATGTAATACCAAATTAATATCCCAGTTAGATAATTGAAATGGCCTTTCAGGTTGAAAGACATGAAAGGATTTGAGAGGGTCTGATGGCACTGTGGACTCAAATAATTTATGATGTTTAGAATTACTGAAAAGTAGTTGATAAAGCTGCATTATACAAGGTGACAGTAGGCAGAGCTAGACCTTTGTAAAAAAATGTGGCACATTTGGGTGAAGTGTGTTCAATTACTTGTGAGACAACACTGGCAATAAGTGTGCCATTTCCATCAATAAATGGCCTTTGTGGGTCTACGGAGAGATTGAGGCAAATACAAGACAACTTTAGAAGTTAAACCATGATGCCATGCAAAGGACCACATAACTTCCATGCATGAAGTTTGAACTTCAGAATGTCTGGATGTAGAATGTCAGATCGACATTGCCTCAACAGAGATGGCCAAAGAGGAAGTGGCAGAGGTGAGTACTCTTGGAGATACTCAAGAAGAGGAAACAATTTGGGGCTACCAAAGGCACTCAAGGAGTGGACTGAACCATAGCCAGAACTCTGGGTAACAGAGTAATTAGGGGGAAGGCATAGAGGTGCAATCCCATCTAGTCTTGACTGAATGTATCTATCTCCAAAGCCCAAGGATGAGGTTCCAAAGTGCCTGTAGTTGAGAATTCCAAAGAGTGGAGAACGCATCTATCATCGAAGTCCCAAACTGAGAGCAAATCCACCAGAAAACCTTGCAATGTAACATCCACTCAGTCAGGAGAATTTGACTGGGCCAAAACAGATGATCTGCTATTAAATTCATCACCCCCAGAACATGGAAAGCTAAGATGCTGATAATGATGGGTGTGAGCCCAGTAGAGAATATCCAAAGTTCTAAAACAAAGGTTCTGAGAATGCAAGACCCCTTGATGGAAAATGTAAGATATCATCATGGAAATGCCAGAATTAATCATGATGATTTCTTTCTTCAATACAGCTAGACCTTGAGCCATTGCCTGTTGGATAGCAAGAAGTTCTAAAATACTGATGTGGAAGGAAGCTTCGTCATTTGTACACAGACCCTGGAATTCCTGACCATTGATATATGCACCCCATCCCTGAAATGAGGCATCTGTGAAAAGATGAATCTCAGGACGAGGGGGTGGTTTAGGAACATCTATTGTAGTGTTGTTCCAAACCAACCACCACTCAAAATCTAAGATGTTGCTCCTGAATAAAGTGACCAGATGATCCAAAGGATCACAGTTCATGATTCGTTGGTATCACTGTAACCAATGAAGGAATCACATGTGTGCTTGTCTCAAGAGAATTAATTTTGTTGGAGTTTTCACATCCCAAAAAGACAGAGAACCATCCACTCAGTAGGAGAAATAGATGCAAGTAAGAGCCTGACTGCCCCTTCCATAACAGGGAGTCAGCTGAGCCCAACTTAAATACGTGTTGAAGAAGATACCCAAATGGACAGTTTATTGAGTTGGCATGAGAATGGATTTCTTGGCTCTGATAAGAAAGCCAGCCTTGGTGGCTTCTGAAAGGATAATTTGGGTGTGCTATTCCACCAACTGACAAGATGATACCAGAAGTAACCAGTCATCCATATAATAGAGTGTGTGCATGGGCCCAAAGAATGAAGGTGACGAGAAAAAGCTGATACGACTCTGCAGAAGACATATGGTGCAGATGCTAGGCCAAAGGGCAGAGCCCTGAATTGTAGAACCTGACCCTTGTGCACGAAACATAGATAGCAGCATGATGACTCTGCTATGGAAATGTGGAGATAAGCATCAGTAACATCAAAATTGGTCATCCACAGACCTGACAAAAAATGCCAACATAGGTTGAGAAAGGACTCCATTGTGAAACTGGAAGGATCTAAGAATTGGTTGAGATAGGAAAGATCAATGATCAGATGCCAATCTCCCATCTTCTCAGGCAAACAAATAAATGGGAATAAAATACCAGAAGAATGGGATCAACTCTCTCTTCTGCCCCCTTGACCTCTGATAGTCCTGGAATAAAGGTCCACACTCCGCAAATGTGTTCCGGGTGGAAATACCACAAATTTGGAGGATAATGAAGGTGAAGATGTGAACTGAATGACCAACCCCAATACCAGAACCTGGAGTACCCATGAATCTGTGTTGAAGAAATTCTAGTTGTCCAGAAAATGTTGTAACCACACTCCCACAGACCACACTAGCATAGGGTAGTCACCGATGTCATTGCCGATGGTCTGCTTGAGTTTAGAAGCCTCTTGGATAAGGATGAGATCTATTCAGGGTACCATTAGATCGAGAATCCAAATCCGATGGTCGGGACACACAATGGGCACTTGCGCCATGGAGGGAAGATAAATATCTAACAACTGTAGGGAGGGTCAGATGAATCCGAGAAAATTATGATCTGTTCCAAAAGTGGATCAAGTCTTCGGGAATCTAAAGATACATCCTTCTGGCAGTGATAAACCATACCATGCTGTTCCAACCAACTATGGGGACAATGCATAGCTATCCCTTCACATAACTGAGCAGTAAACCTCCCTGCATGAACAGCAACATCAGATGAAGGATGAAAAACTAAGTATTTGCCCTCAGACTTTTCTACCATCAAGGAAGGAGTAGACTCTAAAGCAACTGGGAAAAACTTCAGAACCTCACAAACCAGGAGGCACCTTGTGAGTCATCAAAGCATCCTCAGAACCCTCTGGACCTAATATACATCTCCATCTCACAATGAATCAGATCACGGACAGCCTCAACTGAAAGTGACCAAGAGTTGAAAAATGTCTTAATTTTCATTTCTGTATTGCCCGTAGATGAATGAACAGTACACAATGAATTTTCTGGTTATATTTGTGTGTCAATAAACTATGTAGAATTACAAAAAAAAAAAGGATTTTTAACTTTAAGCTTCAAGAAACAGTATAAGCTAAACTATGATTTTATTGGATAAACTCACACACCAGTACTTCCTTCAGAATCTTGACACATGACCATGCACCTCACGTTTAAAAATAAACATGTCTTTCAGCTAAAAAGAGGAGTATCATAGCTTCCATGCAATGTCAACACTTGCCAATTACTCATAATTTAATTTTTCTACCTCTAAGTTCTGATGTAGTAGTCTGATAAAGGCAAATTTGAAATGAAAACACTACATTTTTATATATATAGTTCCCAGATAATTATGAGATGCGAGAATTTTTTTGCAGTTTCTGGAAATGTTTTTCTTCTTGCTATTACTGGAATTGTGTTCAACTATTTTCTTTTGAAAGCTATAAAAATATTTCTCTACAACAAAAATCCATGTAAGGATGCTTAGAATTGATATGTACATCGGCCTATACAGTTATATGATGACATCTGATCATACATCATTACTGATTGTACAGTATTTGTGTTTTTTTTTATTGGGTTATGCAACTGCTTCAGTGGGCAAAATAACATACCAATGATAAATAAATAAATAAAAATAAAACAAGTTAAAATAAATCTGTATATAAAATCTAACCTTTGGATTGAATATAAATAAAGAAATCTCAGTTTTTATGTTTCATGTTAAGTCTTTTCCATTGTATAAAATAATGTGCGTATGTTCGACATTTTTATATCAGAACAACAGAAAATGGCCTTGGAAATAGATTTAAGGTCATTAAAACACAAAACCAATTGACAACATTTTATTAACAGTTCCACTTTATTTTAACTAAATTTTTTTACAATAATAATTCATATTAATTATGCTTTTAATTGTGTTATCAGATGTAGGAGAAACTACAAGTTTTACTTTAACATTTCAATCTTAGTCCAAACAAAGTACACAAAAAATATATACTTTCTTGGCACACATTTTGAGGCCACCCTATTCATACAAAACACTTCAGCTAAATTAAACTTAACCACATTAATCAATGTAACAAGAAATAAGCTGTAATGAACCTGTAAAATCATCAACTCTACCTTACCTATGAGCATACTGGACTCCAAGGTCATCACCATAAGTAGAGTACAGCAGGTCAGATTCTTCTTTACTTAGATTAGCAAATGTTGAGTCATACTGAGGAGCATATGAGCTATAGTTTCCATAGTTCAAATAAGAGACTGAAAAGAAGAAAAAGACATTCAGACAATTCAGACTACCAACACACAGATTGCAGTTCAACACTGCATGAAGCCTTGTTTTGTTCTTTCATTTGCTCCAGAGTTACAGTTGAGGAATGGAATTAATGTGACATATCTTTTTTTTGGAGATGCACAGAAAATTTAATTCTTTGAAATCACTTATCCATAGAAGAGTATAAAAGAATTCATTACCATTACTTATCCTTCAGAATACCTATGTAACTATATGTTATTGGAAGTTAATAAAGGACAATTATAAGAAAACATATGCTTACAGAAAATTAGTCATTTGTGTAATACAAATATAGTACCAGATTTGTTATTGAACAGTGAACTGTAAAATTTTAGGGGGTCAGATCTCTGTTCAAACCTTATCATTAATAAAACGAAAATTAAATTAAATTAGCTAACAGCTTTAAATTGGATTCTTTACTAACATACCAAAAAGGTAGAGATCAAATTTAGAAGCCAGTATTTGAATTAATAAGATCAATGAGTTTTAAAATACAATATAAATGTTTGATATCAAGTATTGTGGATTAGTTACCTTTAGTGCAGGCACTTAACAGCTTTTGGGAATATCAAAATAACCAATTGGTCCAAAATATTCAAAGAATCGGTCTTTAAATTAATAAGAATTTAACAATAAAATAATAAAAAAACACATTTTTAGGAAAATAGTTATATTTACATAAATATCTATAACAATTTTCTTAAAAGTTTCTAGAGAAGTGTAAATTTTTCAATGTAAATTTGAGTCTTTTCTTTTTTCTTAATATTACAGTTCATTTCATAGAATTTATAAGTCTAAAAGTAGATCCTGTAATCTTAAAATATTTGAAGAAAGATCTAATCATAAGTACTATTCATATACAAATTTTCATATACAACCATAAATTTGATTGATTGCTTTACAAATTTTGTATATAGAAACTGAAATACTTAACTCTTTCGACATAGGTGCCTGCAATTTGCAGGGGGCCATATGGTAATTTCACTTGTGAAACAATATATACTATAACTCTAAGCTTTCTTAACATATCCTCACAAAAACTGGTAAGGTTTTGTTAAAGATTATAAGTATCTTGCACACAAAGAATTACTTATTTCAATTAAGTCTTTCTATTAAAAATATGTTATTTATATATTGCAGTTACTTGTACTTAATAGTTTGAGTGCAGGGTGATTTTCATTTAAAGTATAAAAATACTTTTCTTCATCCTATTACTTGTTTTACTCTTTTCATTGAAATAATTTTCAAACTTACGTGCAACTAGGACAAGTTAACGTACTTAATTGTCTAGACATACATACACAGGACTGGTATTATAAGAGTCAAGAGAGGAAGTGTGAAAGTTCATATTTTTGATGGTTTATGGGTCACATGACAACACAAAGCTGAAGTTAACTCTTTCAGCATGGGCTCAGTCCCTGGGACCAACATCGTAACCATTTGGTGCTTATAGTTTTCATGCTATAACTTTTAAATTAGCAAGCATATGTTAACAAAATTTAGCAGATTATCAATAAACATTACAATGGTTTCATATGCAACATATCTAATTTTTTTTTATTAAGTCTTAAGGTTTGTAAAGCAATGTTTTTCTCATGCCTTTTTTCACTTTTTCCATGTTGTCTATCTAACATGCAAAGTAATTTTCATTTTAAGATTAAAAATACTTTTATGCATCAGAAAATTTTTAAATTTCACATAAATCTTCATAATGTCCAGATAGTTACCAATGTTTCTTAAGAAAAAACTTTATATTTTATCTATTATTTTCATTAACAAATCTCTGTATGGGTTCGGTAGATTTGACCGATCTTGTAACCACCATAAAAAATTAGGAAATAGATATAAATTATGCCTCTTTTGTTCTAGAATGACAACAAATTATAACACAAAAACATAAATGTTTAGACTAAACAGCTTAAATCTCATAACATTATACATTTATATATATTTATCATTTTTATTACATTGACCTTTCAGCCATGCTTGGCTAATAATACAGAAGTTACAATAATGTGGCATACATGATCTCATGTTAACATATCCATTAATATAAAATTGACCTTTAGTCTTTAAAAAGTGACCTGTTTTGGCTGTGTTTTAGTAGACTAGTATTTTGTAAAATACAATCACATTTCCATTGTTATGCACTATATATGTATATAGATTATTGTTATTTAGAACTAAGTTCTTAAACTTATTTTTCTTAAACATAGAACAGTAAATAAAGAAGAAAAGCAAACAATTATCTCTTATAGTTACAACCTTTGTACTTGGTTGCTGCTTAAAGTAGGTTGCTAAGCCTTTTAAAATTTCACATGTGGAGAATATGAAAAAATATTTTTTAGGTTTTATATATACAGTTGAATAACCAAAGAATCTTAAATTATTATATTGATATCATAGAATTCTACTATAATATATCAAGCTTAGTAACTAAGCTGTATTTGGGTCTAAAAAAATATGAAATTTCGAGCAGACTAAAGACACAACCTACCTCCTCGAAATCTTGGTTTGAAAGAACAAGATGGCGTCTTAACACATTAAAATCGATGAGAAAGCCACTAGGGGAACATTCTGAGCTTTCAATTAGTTATTCACGTCATATATTGAAGTAAGTGTATATAAAATGGAAAGAGGTGAGTGGAGCCACTGTGATTTATTCAGTACATGAGTGATATCTCAGCAAATAAAAAAGATACGCGGTTCTTATTTTATATTCTAGCTTGTCAACATCAGTAATTTGAGTTCCTAATTCATACAAAACCATTGAATTAGTATTTTGACAAACATCTAATTTAAACCAGTGCTGCATTCAACATACCACATGATACACAAAAATCAATGTTTAGCTGTATTTTTATTATTTGCTTTTAAATTAAGAAATTGAGTAAGGTATAATACTAAAATTGGAATTATATTTACAGTTTGATACCAAACTTATTGACATAAATTAATGAAACAGTAGTTCAATAAAATTTTGAATGCGAGTCAACAAATGTGATAACATGGCCTTTGACCAATGACCCATCTAGAGAGTGTTAAAGTATTTTTTTAAAGGTTTCTTTTGAAATAAGGGAAATAAAACTTGGATAACACAAACCATCTAATCATAACATACATTATAATGTTGATTTCATTTACATACACTGAGAGTAAGGTTGTTTGGTTAAATTTTGAATGTAGCCCCATGACTTCTGCTGAAAAGTGTTTAAAGGGGTAGGTGTCACAAAAGGGATAATAATATTAATTTAGATATTTTTGATAAAAGATTTTTTTTTTTTTTCAAATTTACAGCCTATCCTCTCCTAACAGTAATGTATCATATTCTATTATAAGCATTATAAGTTGACAAATACTTAGATTCTGTAGAATTTGTAACAAGTTACAATATTTGATTGCTAATATTGAAATTTTGACACAAAAATTAACATATAATGTATTTGAAAACCGAACATTAAATATTTTCATTAAAATATTTTGTAACAAATATAAAATTATACTACATAAGTATAAAGAAATAAGAATTAAATATATTATGCTTAAGATTTCTGATAATCTTTAAATTTCTTTAATAAGGTCATTCAAACAAAAAACATCTTGGTTCTCTTATAAAAGGTAGAAGACCACTTGAAAATTTGTAGTTACAGCAGATTTTACGAGTTGAGGATGTGTGTGTTATACTAGTTCAGATAATTTGATAGGGATATTATTCTAGTGTAATTTGTCTGTTGTACTACTAATATTATCTTATTAATTTGGGCTGCTGTAACTACCACAATGGTGGCTGGGATGCCAACTTCAGGAGGTTTTTTTCTTACTAACTAACCTCAATGATAGGACCATTTATTTTTCTCTGACCTTCCCACAAATGTGTGCAGGCAGTGAAGAGTAAATATAGATGTGAGACATTGTAGGCTGTAGCCAGTGAAGAGTGATATAGATGTGAGATG